ACCAAAAAATGACAACCAACAGAAGCCCACCGAAAGAGTAGGGATGTGCTGAGAAACTGTATAAGGCCATGGCCTTTTATTCTGGGGGGGGGGGGGGGTACAATACAACATTTATAACGCAATATAATAGACTAAGCAAGTCCAAAGAAGTAAATCATTTATATAAATTACAACGTTATTAAGAAATGAATAAAGCATACATATTTAGGTTTAAGTAATCATATGAGATCTAAAAAAATATTTTTCTTAATGAATTATTAATGTTTTCATTGTTCAGATGAAACTTCTGGAATTGGTAGATTAAAAAACCAGATTTTATCACTTTCTGTCGACATCGATACAAATGAAACAAAATGTTTACCAGCAGATCGTAATACAATTTTATTTACACATATCTTCATTACATTCACAAATTTACGATATTTAAATTTTGGTCCATCTTTATTATATCATCAACGATTATCATTCTTCACTCCACCTCTAAATATTATGTCTACAAATCTGTTAAAATTACATGTCTACTTGCATTATTTTACTGATTGTCTTTATTTACTTGATGGTTGTTTCAGTCAACTTCATACCCTTTTTGCTAATATTTCTTTCGTTTTCTTTTCGCCTCTAACAATCAATAATAAAGTAATTAGATTGTTTTTTTAGTTACTATCTAGTTTACTTAAATTAATAATATTGTTTTTTTTTTTCTAGGAAAAATTACCCACTTTAAAATGCTTTTCGTTGCACTGTAATACGAGAACAGATGTTTATGATGAATTAATTTTACCACTTTTACATCGAATGTCAAATTTAGAAAGACTTGAGTTGTGTCTTATTGTTGATGAAAGAAAAACATTTTTTGATGGTTATGATTTTAAGATGAATATTATTAATCATATGTCACGATTAAACAAATTCATATTTAATATTCTTTCATCAAGTCGTTTTTATAATGAAGCTAATTTACAATCAAATGAATACATTCAAAAGACATTCAGCGATTTTACAGATAAACAAATTATCTATTGTGCTGATTATTTTCCAACAAAAAAAAAAGGTCAATGTCATATTTATTCATATCCATATACACTGAAATATTACGATGATATAACAAATAATTTTCCAGGTGGAATATTTAAATGTGTTCGTGAAGTGTCCTTATTTGATGAACGCCCTTTTGAGCATGAGTTTTTTCTTCGAATCGCTCAATCATTTCCATTGATGGAAAAATTAACTGTAGTTAATCGAAAACGACAAATTAATAAACAATTTAGGAAATCAAAGATTGAAAATGAAGATTTATCAATCATTAAATATCCTTATCTTACAGAACTTCATCTTATTCATACTTGCAAAGATTATCATGAACAATTCTTATTCGATACCAAAACATGTTTGCCATTTAATGTTCATGTTTGTATGAATTATGAGCTAGTGAAAAAAGTGACACGCAATTTTAGAAGAAATACAACACGAAGTAATTGTGCCAAAATGAATTACGTATATTTATCTAGAAAACTACAATTTCCTGGAGATTTAGACAATTTTTCTCCTAGAAAACAACAATTTCCTGAGCATATAAAAGACTATTTTCCGCATGCGGAAATACATTGATTATTAGTAATTTGTTATTCAAATAAAACATTAACTAAAGCAGATTGATTTATATAAAATTAAAGCGTTTAAAGAATCATGAAGATAATAAAGAATACCGGTTGAAAACAGCTATTGAATGGCACATTATTATTGCAAATGAAAATATGCTGTGTGTCTGTGCATATACTTCAGAAAAAAATCAAAATGAAATTACAATTAAAAAGCAAATATGTTTTAAGTAATAGTATAGAAAGAGTTTTTTTGTCTAAACAATATAAACAACAGACTCGTAAACTATTTGTAAGAATAAATAGTTTGTGTAACTAACATTAGATGAAGTCGAACAAGTTTTTGATGTAGAACTGCTTATTATGAGAGCTAACGGAGAGGAATCTGTTTATATTACTCATGCTTTACGGGCACAAAATGAAGATTAAAATGTGTGACAGTTTTCCTTTCTTCTTACGCATTGTGCTACATTATGGCCAACATTATCGTTCTATTGTAAAATGTATTTCTTCAGAAGACGGAGCTTCAAAGACGCCTCTAACGTAAGTGGAAGAATATGTACGCACATATTGCCAAGGTGCTTCAAATCTAACGTAACTCTTATTTTATTGATTAAGAGTTAGAGTAATACTATTCTTTTAGTTTGTCATTGGTCTCCCTAAAATGACATCATTTCTTGACATAAGTATGTAGTTTTCCTATGACGTGTTCTTTCGGTTTAAGTTTACCGAATGTAAAGTTGTAATTATTTGTGTTAAAAAGCACATGCGAAAGTAAAAATGTTCTGTATATTTAAATCAATCAGTTATCTGTAGGCTGTATGAACAAAGCAAAAAGTGATGACTGAATAGATAGGGTGACGACAGATGTTCACTGTGCAGTCTTTAATATTATGATTAGTGACAGAAATACAAGATCTTTTATTATTATATTATCTGTAAATAATAATTTTTGCATTATCTTATTGGGTTTATTTCTTTAGTAATATGAAAAGATATCAAAACGAATTTTGAGAAATATTCTCAAATTATTATGTGAAAGAATGCGAGACAATGTCACCTTCTGGATTTCTATATCGAATAAAACAGGCAAAAATATGACTGAAATGCAAGTAGAAAGTAAAATCGACTTGAATTTAAAATAAAAACCTTTCTTTCAAAAAACGTTCTTCAAAAATTATGGCAATTTTTAACAGATTTTCTTTCACTCGAGTTTATGTATTCCTAATATGATAATATTATTCATAACAATAGTTCTGTTCCAATGAAGATTTTCAGTTTTTATTTTATTTTGAAAAGATTGTTTTGGTACTTTTTGAGAAATAAAGATATAAGGTATTGGCTAACGCCTGAGACATGTTGATTTGAACTAATTGTCAAATAATTTAGTGAGTAGTACAATGCTTGTTTTAATCAATCCAAAACAAGTTTATTAAATTTAAGCTCGTGTCAATGATTATTTGGTCTTGTCTTTATCGAATAGAAAATTCATTTCAATTAGAAAATGAATATGTTTTATCTACTTTCACTTTCTCAATTAGAATCAAAAAGATTCGATTATTAAAACCTCTATTTTGCTTACAATAGATTATTTTTTCAACATTTCAATATGTCAGTTTCTTCTTTTTCTCTATAATTAGAAATAATCAATACAATGAAAATTAATTTTTATCCATTTAACTTTTCTGATCGGCAATCGACTATCCCGCTCTCAGATCGTATACGAGTGAAAGAAAGGTCTCCATTTATTTTAGACCATGCCTGTTTGCATGAAGATAAACAATAATTCTTCTTGGACAACGTAACCAGGACGCATGAAGGATATGGATCATATCTGACTTTTTTTTCTTTTCTCTGTCGAAATATCACTCGTCTCTCTATCTTTTTGTTTTCAAACTTCTTTTGAGTTGTCCGTATGTGAAACATCCATAGAAACAAAGAGTTTGTGCTCATGGATATAATCCTCTTGTA